CTAGTCGAGACATATTTACAAGAATAGTGGTATTTGTGAGTACTATTGATGCATAACAATTCGTGTGGTTTCGTGAATACTATCACAGCTTTAGCCTATGTTTGACACATATTCTTTCAAAATACATTATTTTAAAACTCATTTTCAATCACACATTCTTTTATAAAATAATTATACACGTATTTAAAAAAAATTCTTATTTTTTAACCCCGACTTCTCGAAAAAATCACTATTTCATAATACATTTTACCACCAAAATGGAAATCAAACGTGGGATAAAGTATTTTCAAGTTTGACCAAAAATCTATTTTACACTTGGACAAAAGACTCAATCTCACCTAATCTCCACTCACTTTCGTATAACTCATTCTCGCCTAATCTCCATTCACTTTCGTATAAAGAAAAAGAAAGACAGTGGGTACTTTTAATTGACCCGATCCACTTAAAACCTAAAGTGTCTATTAAAATGATTAGAATTAGATGTCGGGTCAGAATTAAACTATTAGGTTGGGATGTGTAATTTTTGACATCAACTTTGATTGACTTTTCATGAACAATTTGGCGTTTCAATTAATCATTGACTATTAGTGTGAATTCGAATGAATATAACGCATTCAATTACGCGATTATCGAGGTGATTGCACCCACGATATTATTATTCCTAACATCTATTGCTCGTGTGTTAATCATACAACGTTCTACTTAATTGTAAACTTTCCAACACTAGAATCAAGCAACTACTTACCTAATTGATGACCAAACAATTAAATAATGCAACGAACATGCATAATTAATTGATAAACTACTTGTTTCTAAATGCATAATTAAAAATAAATAACTAAGTGTTTCATCTTCATCCAATACAAAGGAATATAATTTAACATGTTTCTAAAGATAAAATGACAAGAAGAACGTAAAAGTATCATCCAGAATTTATAAATACAATAATGAAATGTCACGGTCTAATTATTGTATCCGCCCCCAAGTTTTGATTCTTTAAATTCTTGATATTTCTTTATTCGATCCATGTACTATATTTGTTATTGCCTCTAACTTATGATGAACTTGTCGTGCGTTCTATGGTATGGAAGTGATTTGAGACGTGAGAGAGAAATCCTTCCATGGATGTCCATGTCTCATATATAAAATTAGGTCAAGAAATACTTTCAAATCGGATTCCAAAAGAGTATCAATCGAATAAGGAAAGTTATATTCGCTACGCGCATGATTATGTATCTGCACATCCGTTAGCATTTTGTGGTCCGAATTGACTCCTAGCAATATCCAACTGTTGTTTTGTGGTTCAAGTAAACTATTGGACGTTTATAATTTGGTCATCGAACTTTGGATTTCATCCATTTTCGTCGATTTTTCGTTCATTTATTTTTTTCAAATTCACTTCAAACCATTGAGGTGTTCATAACAAATGATAAATACTATAATTTATTAAAAACAATACAAAATATCATAATTTAGTGGCCTATATAAAGGTACAACATACACTTATTAACATCGATGATCATGTGAGTATAATGACTAAAGAATTGGCCTTAATGTAAGAGGGTAGAGTGTCTACCTTTAATGAAGAGGGGGGTGGGGGTGGGGGGGGGTGGGGGTGAGATTTACAAAGAAAGAACACGATTTAGTTGGTGTAGAGAAAGAGAGTTATAAATTAAATCAAACTTAATCGTAGTTTTTTAATGATGATAAGATATAAAGCTTGATCAAAACCCGACAATAATTTTTTCAAAGACTAGAGTAAGCCTATTTTTGAGCTCCATTTTCCTCAAAATTCACTTCAACCACACTTCACACATAAAAGTAATTTTACACATAAATTTTTTAAAAAAAATCCCCATTTTTTAACCACATATTCTTTAAAAAATTTACTATTTTAAAACATATTTTTCCACAACAATGCGACAAGCATAGGAGAGTTTCACATATTTTTTTTGCTAGATCCCAAGTGTGGACACTGCATTGGTTTGTTCAATCTTTTTTTTTTCCATCGTCCAATCAAAAGATGCCACCTCTCTTTCTGTGAGTTCGACGATTTTTTGCATTACCACGTGCTAAAAAGGAAAGGAATGTTAGGAAAGTTAATTGCACTAAGGATACGAAAATATTAGATTCTCCGTTATTTATCTTCATGAGAGACGTTCATCAATGTATGTGACAAATTATATGCTACGAAATGATAAATCCAATTAAGTGTATGAATGAAAATTTATTTATTGTTCTTATCATTTAGTCCCTATTTGAGCCACATTATTTTTTTCATTCCCATTCTGCAACTCATTTTCAATCACATATTTTTCAACAAAATAATATTTTTCATCACATCAATAACTTTTTCTTCTTTTTCAACCACATATTCCCCATGACATTAAAAAAAAAAAAACATTATTGGCTAAAAAAACGTGCACCAAAGCAGAGACTTAATGCAACATCTCATAGTGATCATCTCTAGTGGAGATATATAACATTAGAATTAAGCTATTTGTACCATTTGATTTACATTTTGACTTACTCGACCCCACTACCTCTCTCACATAGGGGTTGGGTCCCACATCCAATAAATGTGTGGGACCCGACCCCCATGTGAGTTATTGGATGTGGGATACGACCCCCATGTGAGGGAGGGGGTGTGGTTGAGTAAACCAAATTGTAAATCAAATGGTACGCGTAGCAAGGTCGATAACATTATTTTGATCGAAGATTATATTTAACACAATCTAGTAAAAATGAGACCTTCCCTACGACAATTTTCTCTTATCATCATATTTCATCTTCTTTTTTTAGCAAATAACGCTTACATTGAAAACTAAGAGCCTGTTTGGTATGGATTTTGATTTTCTACAGTAAATCAATTCTCATTTTCAATCACACATTTTTCAATAAAATAATATTTTCCATCACATCAATAAT